TCTTTTAGCATCCTAGCTAGCTGGTTGTTCAGATCAACATCATGCAGCCCCAGCCCTCTTCAATGCGTGGTACATCAGTCCTGAGCTGAGCTTTTACCAAAAAAGATAAAAAAGAAAAGAAAAATTCCACTATAGCATTTGAATTGGAAGACTTTAGAAGGTATGGCATGAATGCCCAGACACCCCAAACGGTAGTAGTTGAAGTCAAGAAAGAGGAAAGTCTTCAGCTGAAGACACAAAAATAAAATTATTTTACACTCATCCAGATCTGATGGACAACTTGTAGACTGCTCGCTTATTTTTGGCTCGGTTCTTTTATTGGAAATATTGATTTGTTATTTACACAGAGGAGGGAAACAAAGATAATTTTTTGTTTCACTGTAAATAAATTGTTTTGAAAAAAATTTAATCAAATGCTGTAGCAGAAGAGAAGCCCATCAAACTCTGAAATGCTATGCTTCTCATTAGCAACAGTCCCTGGTTTTCATTTCCATACTGCCATTTTGGGTTCATATATAATAATAGAATCTGACACATTTATAGGGAAAGAGAGTTCTTCTATATATACCGTCTTTAAGGACAAGGGGAGGGAGGATGAGGCAGAATAACTTTTGAAATGATTCTGTCAGAGGTAAGCCCATCATAATGGGTGATTTTAAACCTCGTACTTGATAAGGGCTTCAGGTGGAAACACAACTTCAACCCAGTGCCTCTCAGGAACTGTTAGCAACGGTTATTGCTGGCTGTTCTGGAGACCATGCATTGTTCTAAAATTTCATATTGTTAGCATGCAGGAACAGGCTGAAACTGGTAATCGAAGCAGCAAAGAACCATTTGCTATAAGAAGATTAAATGTTAATTATAAGCAGTCACATTCCAAAGCAGCATATGCATAAAAAAGCAAACATGCTATTACTAGTCATTCCTCCCCAGTCATCATTTTTACACTCACACCAAATACAAAATAGAAATCTCAAAAGACAAACAAGCACCACCACCACCACAAAAAAAAAAAAAAAAACCCAGCAAGAATGATCAGTGAGAGGCTCAAAGACAAGACAGTAACAGTTAAAAATGATTGAGCCCCACATGTTGACAAACCTTTGTGAATTACAATGTCTAGACCAAGGTGCCACGGGCTGGGAGGGTGGTTCTCTCGCTCTACTTCTGGAATAGTCCATTTTCATTGACACCCCCCCACCCCTTAGATGTCTTCACCTATACACTTCCGGGCCCAATCTCTTAACAGGTAAGCCCAGCTGACCTCCCTTCTGGTGGAGCGATTCATCAGGCTTGAAGGATGTGCGTCCCAGCTAGGAAGAAAGAGCCCTCCTCTGGGTCATTAAATGGGTCATGAACAAGCGCTTTAACTAAAAACGTTTGCTAATTTGCCCACGTGGTGGGAGCTATTCCAGAGGATGTGGACACTGTGTGTAAAATTATACTCTCAAGTTGTAAAATAAAATTATATCAAAATTAAGTCGTGGCTCTCCTGATTTGGAAAACACCACCCACCCCTCGTCCCCTTCAACTCTCTCCGGCTTCCTAATCCTCCGGTTTTGTTTTAGCGAATCACGGATATTCAGAACCGCTGGTGTTTTATTTCCATTTCCCCGTGACTGTTTCCTTTTCTGGAGCTGATGTGGGTTAGAAGGTTAATTTCAGATATCAGAGTGCCACTTAAAACTCCCAAGGTTAGGTTTCAAAGAGCAACTTTGAAAGTTTCAGTATTTATTTAAACCAGAAATAAGTTTCTTAATCTACTCCCTGGACACATAAAGTGCCCTCTCACCTTTGGTGTTTGCTGATTTTCTTTTTCACATCGTCACCCAACGGTCTCTTCCCAAATCCCAAAGCCTCAGAAAAAAGGAATTTTCCCCAGGATCTCAATGGTAATGGAAAGTAGATCTATGAGGACATCTAGTGGATCGGTGTGGAAGAGCAGCTAGTCAACGGACTACCTGAACGATCTGGCCTTTCTCTGCAAGGGAGCAGGAAGGGACACTGTGTGCCTCCAAAAATTGGAAATCTGTGCAGTGTCATTTCAGTTCAGTGGTTCTTACAATTCACGGCGGATGTTTAGGGGCCAGTGGGGGTGAAGCGGCGAATTCTAGGAGTTGGTTCAAGAGTGGCGACTTGCAAACACGTTGGCTCTGCCACCATGGCCAACAGAGTGGGACCAGTTCAGCAGCAGCTGGCTGGGTCTCCTCAAAACCGTGCTGCTGCTTCCTGAGGCAGGAAACAGACAAGAGTGTGTCTCCAGTAGGTGTGAAGACTGTAGCTACTTGTCTTTCCGTCTTAAGGCTTTTGGAACTTTATGCTCAATTATTGGCCCCATAGGCCAGCTTAACTCAGGGAAAGCAGAAATATAAGCCTCTAGGGACTCCGTTTTCTCTTTGGCCCACGTCACAAGGTTCTTGTTCTTGGACCGGTGCCACCGATTCAAAGAGGTTATGTGGTTGCCAAGAATGAGACCCTGGGTCTCACCTTCCTCCAAAGAACTCAGGCTTAGCCCTTTTACAATTTGAGAAAAAGCTTTTATGTGCTTTCCTTCACCACAAGGGAGTGGATATTCATCCAATATTTCCATTAGGACTTCCTAGTGCTATTTGTAGAGATAAAATGAAAGTATTTTCCTAATGGACATCATCAAAGCTATCTGTTTACTCTTAAGTGTTTAAAAATGGGGGATTTCTCAGACCTACTCTCGGACCACTTTTCCTATATTTTCAAGGGTTGTCTGATCACGAGAAAAGAAACCTGTACAGAAGTGGCTGATGTAGATGTGGCTGGGTTACTGCACTTTCCTTGTGTCAAAGTGACAATCAGCTGTCACACTCAGGATCTCTGCCGGTTAGCCCTTCTGAGCCAAGCCTGGAATGAAGAGGGAGTTGGACTCCAGCCTGTGCTCAGCACCATCTGCCTCCTGCATCAGCAACCAAATTGCCAGCCAATTTCCAACTGCAGAATCTTAATTTCCAGGGTGGGTTGGAAGGGTCAGGAAAAGCAGGGCAGGACTGAGAAGCTCAGGTGGAGTTTTCCAACGGCCAGAGAAAAAGTATTCTAGGTTCAAATGGAGCAAATTCAAAGGAAGACGAACGTGGACGAAGAAAATATCTGCCTTTCAGTTCACAGATACTTTTTAGGTCGCAATGACATGTTTAAAATCAATCCCAGTGAAGGGAGGATGAATTCCAAGCCTGAACCCTGATGCTGCTCTTCACACGCTCAGCAGCAACCAAAATTAGAACTAGAAGCCTCCATGGAACGAAAAAGTCCACCGAGGTAGAGGGTTGAGACATGCGTTTGATGTGACCCTGGGAATCAGCGAGCATTCTTTCCAGTCCTGTAAATGAGGAATGATGTCTTCACTTAGCCAAATTCCTCCTATTAGCTTCTGCAGGGAGAAGAAAGATCTGCCAGGTGGTTTTCCAAGAACAGAAAGAGGGGAAAGGAAAAGCTAGTTAATGTCAGTGGCCCTAAGTACACAGAACAGAACTAGAGGATCCTGCCCTCCACACCACGCGGTGGCTGTGCAAGGCAGAGGCATTTGGCACCAGAGCTGTTTGGTGACTGACATCCCCTTTTCTGTCTGCTTCCGAAGGATCACGAGGTACAGAAGGCGCCTCTGCAGGTATGAGAGTGGCACATGCCCTCAAGCCAGCCTTCCCGGTGCTCTGCAGATAAAGGCAGCCACGGAGTCCATCTTGGCGGCGTTGTGTGATGGACTCAAGACATCATTGATTTGTTTTGTTTGTACACTGAGCATTCTAGAGCCTCAAACTCTGAAGACTAGCCAGAACCAGATGACCCCCTTGCCTGGTGCAGAGGCAAGGAGATTCCGGAGGGCTGAGATATCTCCAGATGCCAGGACCACTGGACTGAACTGGTCTGCAGGCTGGGTCTTGTTTTCCATGGAGTCTCCTGTGAGTCCGTGAGTAGAGACCTGACGACGCTCACTGCTGGTGGCACAGAAGGCAGCATTGCTCGGAGTCACACACAGAAACACTGGCCCTGAAATGGCCACATCTTGTTGGGTGAGAGGGGTCCTGCTCTATGAGTAAGTTAGGGGCTCAGAGACTTAATATTTACTTGTTCGGACTTCTACATGGCTCACTAACAAAAAGGAACATTGTCCTTGAGCCATTTTTTCCACCTGAAACAAGTAAATGGATCTTCCAAGATACCTGACTAACACCCACAGCAGAACTGGGTATGTCCCAGTGGGTACTGACTGAAAGGAGAACTTTATTTTAAAGCAAGGGAACTTCGTAGACTGTAGGAAATAATTACCACTGTGGTAATACTTGTCTCCAGTAAGGTGGCTTAAGATACTTACAATCCCAAAGTTTGGTGTCCATTTAATTCTCTAGCAAGCACTTCCTCGCATAGAGAGGTACGTATAATAAATACATCACTCTCTCTATAAAATATCTCTATGCTTATATATAAAAATGTTCATTTTTACATATAAAGTACTGGTAAATATCATATATATATCACAACATAGGAATATATATGTAGCATATGTGTTTCCTTCAGGATAGGAATTCAGGCTCAGTAGCAGAGACCAGGTCTAATTTATCGAAGGCAAGCATGACAATGACCTCCAACTGATGAGGCATCTACAGCTATAGTGGTAATTACCTCAGGCTACTCAGTGTCCCCTAAAGGTCCCGAGACAAGGCCTTCAAGAGAAACACTGTGGTCAAGGTCTTATTTTCAAATGGAAAAATAAGACAGCGCCAGAAGCTGGCAAGAGGCTGGGGGATGGGAAGACGAACGGAGGGGGGTTCCCTGCTCTGGGGGGTCTCCAGCCCCAGGCTACTCTGCAGACCGTGTTGGATGAAGGAGTTGGGGCATGATGTCACTGCTACATGCAACATAAATACCAAAAGAAAAAAAGAAACTGAAACTGTACAGAAAATAAAAGAAGTATCTCTTCTAGAGAAAGACAGGGGGAACTGGACTCCGGGCTACTGGGAACCCGTTTTACTCACAATATATCACTACCAGTGTGCAGTTAAAATAGAGTAGGGGCCGTATTCCAAGGCAGCAAAGAGAAAAAAAATAAATCAAAAATATGTCAATGATTAGAAGTTCAAGAAAATTCCTTCAAACACATCAATTCAGACATGACTTGTCCCCTGGGAGTCCACCCTTTGGCAAACTTATACAGGCTGGGGGAAAAAATGTAAATCATTAGACCAGGTTTGTTATACAGAAGAAAAAAATGGGTAAATAGTAGATTCTGAGAGCTTGCTCCTTGGCCAGACAGTTGAATTTGACTCTCTTCCTTGATGGAATGCTATGAAGAAATGGAAAGAAATGCAAAAGTTAAACTATACTACCACAGGATTTCCAGAAATGGAATGTCCACACTCGATATTTCTCCAGATAGTATGGCATGAAATGTTCAAGGTGAATGGGGAGGTGGGGGTGGGGCTGGAACAGGAAGAGCTAGGTTGGGAGGGGAGGGTTAAGAAGCTGTGGGTAAAGACCAATGACTGTCATCAGCTCTGCCCTCATGGAGGTGTATCATTCTAGGGTGAATTATTAATACCTGGTCTAATACATTTGGACCAATGACTGTGTGGATGAGCTGCCCACTCCAACTTAGGGCACCGGGCAATGTGCCCTCAAAGGCACAGGAACCCCCGCAATTCATTATTCACAGTTCTAGCTCCTTCTAATCAAAGTTTCTTTGCAACCAAAACCCATCGTCCCCAATTTCCTGACTTGCCTGGTATGCATGGGGAGGTTCATGTTTAATAATTCACTTTATTCTGACCACCCCTTACACATACACATCTGCATCCTGCCCTCTGTAACACAGGCTGCTATGGCCTTTTAATTAGGAAGAACAATATTTGGACAATTTTGATTGTTATCAAACATTAACCTCACAGCCGGAGGCTTCACTGAGATGAGAAGCCCAAGAGGGAAGGGGGTACAGAGAGACAGGGGCAAGACCCCTGTCACGCTGGCTCAGCTTTGGGATTCCACGGCAATCCACGCCACGCATGGTGAGAGACCACACACTTCACTAGCTGAACCAGCTTTAAGGGGAACGAAGAGAATAAAATTATTTCAAACAATTATGTGCCTCTCCCTCCAGGATGAAGTTAAAGTCAACTGCTGTTTGCTTGCCTGGAACCAGGGTGGAAAAATACCCTAGAAGCCAAATCCTCATTTCTAGGAACCTAAAAGCTTTCTGCTGAGTTCCACTGCAGTGCCTACGAGGAACATTCCAGTATCAGAGCGGGGGTCAGATATACTTTCTCTCCCTCATTCTGCCTTCTACCCTTGCCTTCCTAGAGTCTGTTCTCTGTCCAGTCACCACGGAGGTCATCTAATACAGGAATTGAGGATGTTATGTCCTTGCTCAAATCCCCTAATAGCTGTATCAATTATAGGACTAAAACCCAGGTTTCGCATCATGGCCTCCACCTTCCTCTCTGACCTCATTTCATTCCACTCTTTCCCCAGCCCCACCAGCCCCTCTGGACTTCCTTCCTTCCTTCCATCCAACACTTCAAACTTATTCCTGCCTCTTGACCTTTGCCCTTGCTCTTCTACCAGCCGGGACGAAGTCTCAGCTTCAATGTCACCTTCCAAGGGAGGCCTTCCAGACCTTTCTGCCTAAAGCAGCACCCTGACAAGTCCCCCATACCCGCAGGCAGTCTCCTCGCTTTTCATGGCATTTGAATCTATCTGCATTTAATAGTTTCTATGATCATTGTTTGTCTCCATTCACTAAAGTGAAGACTTCAGAAGAACAGCAATGTTATCTTGTTCACCCCCCCATCCCTGGCACCAAGAATCCACCTGGCACAAAGAAAGTACTCAGAAATATGTGGATGGCTAATCAATAAGTGAGTTTCTGTGGTACTCCATGGGAGCAGGTTCTTTGGCAGATATTGGGTCATGGATAATTGGCCTCGACACTCTCCTGCATTTCCCACCCCCCTTCATTACGAGAGTTTCCTTACAAAGGAGTTGACCCTTTTGTATCTGTTACTCTCGTTTACTTCCACCTTGGGATACTATGCTCCTCTGATGGATATGATCTGGCGGATGCCTCGTTATCCGAGCTATTTCCGTGTTCACAGCCAACTAAGCAGTGCTGGGGTAGATGGCCTCGTAAGGAGGGCCTTTCGTGTCAATGAGTCCAGGAGATTGGAAGTGGCTTTGTTCTGGGCCTTACACCCCCTTAGATGCTCCCCTTAGGTTGTCAGAATCAGAGAATTCTTAGACCTCAAGAGCTTAGCATCTCTTTGACTGAAAGCTCAATAAATACTCATCTTAGTAAGGTGTCAGAGCTGGGAGGAACGGGGACATGTGTGTTGAGTCAGTGGAGAAAGCATAACAATGGGCCTAAGCTGTCCCAAACTTGGGAACCAGCTGCCGAGGATTTCTACAGAAACTGCTCTGGACCAAGAGTGCTCCCATGGGTATTTGCCTAAGAGATCGAGTGTCTTTGTGCTCCAGCAGAGTGATATTTATATCTTACTGGTTTTACATTACTGTGTCCCCCTTTAGGAATGCAGTGAAAAAAGCCCTTGCTTTGGTTGGCATATCCCAGGAATAGTGCTCTTCTATCTGGTTTCTGCTTTTATAGGGCGATCTTTCATAACTGTGTTTCTACTCTTCAGAACCAAGATCATTGCCTTGCCCTTCTCTCTTGCAAAAATGATTAGAGCACTGAGAGCACAACATGGAAAGGCCTTTGGGTGAGCCTGAGCCCTTGTCTGTTAGGTCTGTGTGACTCTTAGCAATCTCATCCTCCCACTAAACCTGGAGCCTTGGTTTCCTCTTTTTGTAAAATGGAATTAATAACATCCCCTGACAATTCCCCAGGGTTACGGTGAGGATCAAACAAAATAATGATCGTAAATAAGGAGCTCTGAAAATACTAAATCACCATAGGAAGGAAGGCATCATTGTTATTGTTTTCTTTAGGGTCATGAACAACTTCTATTAGGCAATGCAACATAATTACTCCAAGTGGCATGGCCTTCTCGAGGCACGCCCACTTTAAGTCCTGGTTTCTCGGGAGCTCATGATCCAAACAAAGTTCCTGACTTACCAAATCTTTCTCAAGAGGTCCCATTAGCAAGCTGCTTTGGAAGAGATTTGAGACAGGATATGCCAGAAGCTACTGAGCCTGATCTAGTCTACCCCAAGGAGCAAAGGTGTTTGAGGTTGGTTATTGGAGCAATGGCAAATAAATCTGAATGGTGATGGCCACGTTCTCTTCCTGGGCCGGTCTGAGGGTACTATAAGGGAAAGCTCTGGATCTTGGTATCAAACCTTACAGCAGTCCCAAATGGAAAGAGAGTCAGTGCCCGTTTGGGAGACAGCGCTCTCGGACTCAGTTTCCCTTTCAGCCCTAGTACAGCCATCTTCACACTTGGTGGTCCCGTATCCACTGGAAATCACTTTGCAAAAATACTCCCTCCTCCGTGGTCTTAGCTGTCCTCCTTTTCATGCACCGTACTGATTACTTTCAAGTGGACACAACCACCTTGGCATCCCGTCAGGGTCTGGAGGTGGGGATTAGGCACTAGGTTCATTCAAAAGTGCTGATGGTGGGGATTTTTCATCCTCTGCTCTAATAAAGCAAGGACAGGCATTTTTTCATGTCTCTTTAAACTGCTGGGTGAAACATAAACATAGTCAAGAAACCTCTTGATGTTTAGTGTTTCTTTAATAGGAAAAGGAGAAGGGAAACGAATTTGGGGAAAGGAAAGGGGGGGAGGGGGAAAGAAACACTACTTACGCCGTTTGCAGCCGCATTTTTTTATTCTTTTGGGATCTGTGATGTCATCATGACAGGCCTTGCAGTAAAAAAATGCCCTGGAGAAAGAGAATGGAAAAACTGACACGTTTCATAATCCACCCGAATGAAACAAGCACCACATTTCCTCCACCGTGGTGCCAAATTAATGAAACATGCCAACACTAATTTCCTTTCATCTTTTGAAAGGTTTAGACATTTACAGATGGGAATGTTTGTTGCAAGACCTTTTATTTCAAACCTAGGATTCTGCAATTTGAGTTTGTGCTTCTTTTAATACACTTTCCTTTGAAGAGGAACTGGGGGAATGGCTGCTGATGGGACACCCTGGGTCTGCTGGCTCGTCTTTCATTTTTGAGCACGGCATTCATTGCTGCTCATCAGAACACGCTGGCAACCAGTCCTGGGCCCTTGGTGGGGAAGTTGAATCCATCTCCGAAACGCTTGCCGTCTGGTCAAATATTTGTCGAAGGGGCCCCAAGGATAAAGTTCCACCGTCAAATAAAAACATTAGCCTTGTCACTCGGAAAGCCCATTTCTTTTCAAAATGAGAGAGGTTAAGGAGGAAGGTGGACAGGGAAAGACAAAAGTGGTGAGTCAAAGGGGTCCTCTGTCAAATTTCTTCTGGCATTTCATATCATAGCCCATAGTTGCTCCCAAACTAGAAGGACCAACTCCCATACTCTCCAGCCTTGAGATCATGTAATAAATGGAGGTTTTCTTCTCATGGTAAAAGCACAGCTCAGCTGAGCACTGCAATGGGGTGGGTAGAGGGCACTCTAGGGTTGGGCACCCAGCGGAAGCAACCAATAAGAAAATCCCCTCAACTGACCTTAAGTGTCAAGCTGTGATTACCAAGCACATTGGCTGTGTCAAAGATACTCTGGATGAGATAAAACAAGATCATTCAAGCACAGAATGCATAGGACCTAGAAGAACAGCATTGGAGGCCTATATCCTTTCAGCACAGGAGATTACTGGGATAAAATTCACTGGAACAACCTTACAAGCTCTGGATATGGGGACTAACAAAATCCTTGGCTTCCCCACTCCCAACATGAAATTGAATGCCAGGGATAAACGTGGTCTTCCCTTGACCAAGACTACAAAGAAAGAAACATAATTCTTGACCATTCTATTCCTAGATTCCTTTTTATGTTTTCACGGGACTTGCAGATGTGATTGGCGCCAGGTGGAAACCAATGTTAAGACTTTGGGATCTGGAAGAGATCTTGGAGATTCCCAGGACTTAGTGTCCTTATCTGTAAATTGAGGAGGTTGTCAACAACCTGCCAAAAGTCATCCTGTGCTGGGCTTGGCTGGGACTTCTAAATCCAAGCCCAATGCTCTTTGTGCCCTAACAGCTCATTCACTATTTCTTTAAATGCCAGTGTTCATCCATCTTGAAGAAAGAAAAAGAAAAAGGAAGGAAGGAAGGAAGAAAGGAAGGAAGGAAGGAAGGAAGGAAGGAAGGAAGGAAGGAAGGAAGGAAGAATAAAGGTAGCTGATTGTTTGCCCTGAGTGGCAATGTGGCTAAGAAAGGGGAAGGACAGGAATGGAGGAAGCCATTTTGTTTCCACTTCCTTTGGCCATTTTCTCCCCCACCTGATGCTCCTACACATAATAATAATGACAACAATAACAGGGAACATTTATAGAGCACAGACTATAGGCCAGGTGCTATTCTAAGCACTTTATAAGTATTAATGAATTTGATCCTCAACCCTTTGAAGGAGTAATGATTATTATCTCTGTTTTACAGATAAGGAAACTGAAGCACAGGGAGGTTACATGACCTGCCCATGGTCATGCAGAGCCAGGATTCAAGTCCACACAGCCTAGTCCCAGAGCTCAAGGTCTTAAAGAAATCTCTAATAAAGAAATGATGGAACAGTGATGAGTCTGAGTAGACTGTTGAGAAGATCAAGTGGATTACTTCATGAATTAAGGCTAGATTCTTAAAATAAAGGTAAAGATAGTGAGTGAGATGGGGCCAGGGAGCAGGGGTGGGGGTGGGGTCTCTGGTCTTCAGTCCTGGAGACACATTTCCCACCCAGAGGGAGCACAGTATCTAAGTTTTGCCAGCTGAGTTTTGCCAAGTGGCTCTTCTTTGCAAGCATCATGTTCTTCCCCACCCATCTCTGCCTCTCTCATGCCCACCTGGCAAAGCCCCCACCTTACCGCACACCTGCACCTGAGCAGCTGAGCTCAGGAAAGGAAACACAGCTGTGCTGACTGATCTCACTTCAAATCCATGGCCATGGATTCCAGAGGACTTTTCACACCCCTCAGGCCTACTGCATATCCCCTCCTTCCATCTCAACCCTCTCTGCTCTTCTCCCCACTTCCTCTCCTGTTCACCCCTCCCCTTCACCAAGTGGACCTCGGCTGGTGAACTTGACATATGCATCACCAAGAAGACCAGATCCATACCCCGGAAAGCCGGTCTTTAGGGTCTCTTTGTCCTCTGGTTTCCTGTTGTGTTCGGCCAATCAGAGGAGCCAGCAGGAGACTGGAGGATGGGAAGGGAGAGTTCCTCCCTGCTGGGTCATGAATTGGTGGTGGCCCCCTCTGCACACTACAGCACCCAGCTCCTGCCAGGCAGCCATTCCTATACTACAACCTCTCTCTCCAGGTTCTGATAGCTCTCCTTCCCCTTGACTCTGTAGATTCAGGGCTGAGAATGGCTCCCCTCTGTTTCTAGCTCTGGGGTGCTTTGCCATTCCTTGTTGGTTTTCCTTAACTCTCTGCCCACAACTTTATATGGTCCCTTCATAAAACTCTCCTCTCTTTTCTCATTTAGGTGTGTCATCTGTTTCTGGCCAGGACCCTCCCTGATACAGCACCCAAACTGACACCTCCCGCTCCCAACTTTCCCCCCAGACTCCAGAATCTTAGATCTAACTGCCTTTATGATTTCTCTATGTGCATGTTTTGTACACATCTCCTACTTAACATAGCCAAATAGAATTCTTAATTTCCTACACCCCAAACTTGCTCTTCTTCTAGCCATCTCAGTAAGGTGGGGAGCCAACAACCACCCAATTACATAAGCTCCAAATCTAGGCTCCATTCTTGATTCCTTCCCCCTCCCCAACTTCTTATATGCAGTCCACCAGTGGGCCCTATAGACTCTCTAGTAAAATATATTCTGAATCAGTCTTCTTTGTCTGCACCTCCACTCACCAGCCTAGCCTACGTTATTCTCCCTCACCTACACTATGCAGTCTCCCTGTCTCTGGACCCCCTCTCCTGTGGCACTACATCTCATTCTTTATAATGGAAGGGAAAGAACTTTCAATAATGTAAACCAGACTACATCAACCCCAGCTTAAAACCGTCAATGACTCCATTTTATAACAACCCAACCCTTGTATCAAGGCCTATGAGAGCCAGCCCTGCCTTTCTCTCTTACCTCATCTCGCCACACTACTCCGTCAGACACACTTTCCTTCCCTTGGCTCCCTGCACACAACACTGTCCCCACCTGTCTCCTCTTCCCTTCCAATCTTTGTATGACAGACTCTTTCCCGTCACCTCCATCTGTGCTCAAATGTGGCTCCCCTTCAGAGCAGCCCTCACAATCTAAATCAGTGCCCCAGTTGCATTAATTCTTTGATTCATGTACCATAAATAAACAAAACTGCAATTCTCTTCTCCCTAGAACATGAGCCCCTGAGAGCAAGGACTTCGTTGTTCACCACTGCTTCCCTGGCACCTAGTATGGAGTGTTCTATAAAGTGAGTGACCTGCAGACATTTGATGGATGAATGAGTCTGAGAATGCTGCCCAGGAATGCTAGATCTGCCAAGTTTTTCAAGAGAAACCAGGAACAGGAATTTTTAAATAAAAGTTGATGATGTCTTCCTCTTGGCAACTCATTTATTTGTTAAAATTGTGAATCAAACAAATTCTGTCTGCAAGCCAAACTGAGTCAATGGGGTACCATTTTGTGATTCCTACATCAAAGACTATGGGCCAAGGTCATTTGAAAAGGAAAATATTTGGTGGCAAGGAATAGGGGACAAATGATCGAATGTCCATCCCAAAGTGACCTTTCTAAGACTGGAATGGATGGTTTCACTCCTCTTTTCCTAAAACACTGCATCTGAAAGTTTCTGTGAGCTAAAATCCATTAACTTCTTTGGTTGCTTGTTTGTAGGAGAGGGTACAAACTCAATCCTGGATCATCATAATCAACTTTTCCATTTTTACAAAACTTGTTTAGTTTCATTCAAATCTGCAAGGCCTTTTCTGTGGTTTTCTGCAGTCTTCATCTATTTGAAATCCCCTAACTGACAGCATTTGCTCAGACACATCACACACTATGGAAAATTACAGGCTTGTGTTGTAGCTGATTGTGTCAGCATGTATTTGTGAATACCATAAAGCACTGAAATGAGACATATTGCACTCCCTAATACAGGAGGTAATTTGTTTTTAGGACTGCCTGGTATTTGTGACATTCATTAGCGAGAGATGCAATAGGAAATAGAATTACACAAATGGGAGCTTCGTGTTATATTTGCTATCTGGGAGGTACACGTGATCTACAGCGCCGCTGTGCTCCCCAGCACGCCCCCCTCCCCCACCCCCATACATGGTGTTGAGATGCTGCTTGTGTGTCTCGCAGTCTGGATGTGAGCATAACCTTCTATTCCAGGGGACCTGGGTGGGGGGCTTCAGTCCCATTCACCCCCACTTTCTGCTCAGGTGAACCCAGTTCTCAAGGTACTCCTGAAGAACAGTCAGGATCCATGAACTGGATTAGAAGGTTTTCCTGTCCCCATCTGAATAATGGCAGTTCTTTCCCAATTTGTAGAAGTAAATTTAAGCCATTAGCTCAGTTTAAAGAATTTTTCTTTCTTGTTGTTTTTTTTGTTTGTTTTTCTGTGTTTTTTTGCTTCTCCACCAACTTTTTTCCCCCGTAAAAGCTTTTATAACTAGTATGGCTAGTTTGCAGAAGTGTATGAAGAGGAAAAAAGTAATACGCTTCAGCTGTCAAATATCCTAGTTCTGTGCTCAGCTCATCAGGCTCACCTCTTGGCAAATAATTAAGAAGGTAAGCCCTGGCACTGGACTTCCTGGTTTTGGATCCTGGCTTTACTACTCCTTAGCAGTGGGGCTTTGGGCAAGTTAGTTCACCAATCTGCACCTCAGTCTCCTCATGTGGAAAATGAAAATAGTAAGGCTACCTATCTCACAAGGTTGTGGAGAGGATGGCATGAGTTCATGGCACCTGGTACTTAGAGCAGGGCTGGCACCTATTAAATTCTACATAAGAATTTGCTAGTATTATTAAATTTGGTAGAAAGTGTGGGTTTGGGAAAAAGGAAAGACCATTTCCCATCCGGGCTGTGCCACTTGCTTATGTGCTATCTAACCTTGGACAAATCATTTATCTCAACCTTACAGATGAGGAAACCAAAGCCCCAAGGGTTTTAGAAGACTCACCTTATGAGGTTATTCTGGGGACTGGCAATAATGAACATAGAACCCTTAGCACAGGCCTGGCCTTGAGTGGGAACTCATTACATGAAAACAATAGGCTTCCAAAAATAATTATAGGCCTTTCACAATTAATCATTAATTTGAAATATTCTAAGTAACATCATTGTTAAAGTGAGTGACCTGTCGGACTGCTGGAGCCACATTTTCTGCTAATAAGTTTTTCAGAGTTCATAGGATAGACTCAAATATAACAATATTCTATGGCATTCTCCAAAGAGCCCTATGATTCCTAGGCTGCTTAAACAGGTTTAAGGATACTAATAAAAGTGTCATAAAACATTGAGGTCAATGAAATCCTGGGCTGTACCTACAGAGGCTTAAGAATTGAATCTGACAACTTCAACTACTTACCTAGAAGGCCACAAATAGAAATATAGCTAACTGAATATTTCATCTGAAATTAATCCCAATCTTTTGAGATTCCATTTGGAACTTAGATTAGAAAGCTGATAATACTCGAGTAAATTTGCCTGGATATTAGGTCAAAAGTACTAGACAAGGAACCAGTTGTCCTGTGTTATGTTGTTCTCAGTCATCAAGAATCAGGATGACCCTGAACAATCGCTTCAGTTCTCTGGAACTCAGTTTCCTCCCTTGGAAAATGAAGGAGCAGTTAACTAGGCCCTCCTAGTTCTAAAATATTATTACTCTAATTCAAAGATGTGGAATCAACTATGTGAAGAGGAGTTCATGGAAGCATTTGAAAGCATAGTCTCTTTTTCCCAAGACTTGGCACCATTGATACCCATGGACATGTTAAGAAGTTTTGGGGTTAGGGCTCTATACGTATTGAAAGCATGCCCATTATGGTGGGTCAAGATGCCTATGGCTGTGCCAGAAAGGAAGGCAGATAAATATGAACTCTTACCTTTTAACTTCTTTGGCATCACTTGCGATGAAAAATCCTAAAGTACCTTCTTGGATCTTAAGATGGTTTCCAGGATTAATTAATATACTGCTCAGTGAACAAAAACAAACAAAGAAGGCACATTTGTGAGGTCATGTTCTGAATAAAACCTTAAAGGCTACACTGTACTGTTAATTTTATAGGGGGCCCACTAGTCTAATGCTTTTCCCAAAGATGTTGTGTAGAGCTTGATGTCCACAGTCCCAGACATTTAAGTGGATAAGGTCATCATAAAGCTCTGCTGCTCAGTTCCCAGGTTGGCATACTCCCAGTTGCAGAAGTCAAAGCACATCTAGGTTTCAGGGCCAGGGGTATATAATGGGGTAGCCATCATGGGCTTCTGATATGATATGTAGCCCTTTGGAAACTTCTGTTAATGGTCAACATCGAATGTGATCTAATAAAGCTACTGCTATAACAATTTTCTGTTAGATGACAGAGCATTAATGGGACCCCTATATGCATCCAGAAACATACACATATACATGTATTACTGCAGGGAATGGTACACGACACCTGTAACCAATGCAGAAACAAACATCACATCTGCACGACGTTGGTAAAGACATGTAAGTGGACTCTGCGTGCAGCCTATGCAGAACAAATTGGACCTACCCAAACAGTGTTGAAGAAAAATGCCAGCAGTTGGAAATGATTCCAGTCTGCTTTTACCAAAATGCATGGAAGTGTTTGAATGAAGTGTGTGTCTGGTACATCCTGATTGGGGCAAACTGTAATTATAAAACAAATGCAAATCATCCCTAAAAACAAACAAACAAACAAACAAAAACCTTCCCCTTGCAGGGAAGTATGGACCTAAATATACACCGTCCTATTTCAAAGTGTTATGAATAGATTAGCTGACCAAGTTGTGCTTGGACTGACAAAAGAGATATGTGTATCCTAATCTAATAAATGGGTGAAACAAGTTTTAATTTTCTGCAGATCAAGAACAGAATGCAGGAATGTATTACAAAGAGACTGAGAGGTTTTGGGCTTAATGGACAGGGAATTTGGGTACTGTGAATGCAGGAATAGATACAACAAAGCTATTCTCTGATCTGAAAAGCCGACTTCAAGGTAATAGATGTTTGGAATCAGGCTAAAGGAAGTCCTCAACTGTCTAAGACAATCAAAATGGAGGATGGTAATTAACATGTAATTTTTTATTGCTGGCAAAACCGCTCCAGGAAAGTGCTGTGGCCAACAGAGTCATGCATCTGCAGCAATACAGGAAGAACCCAGGTGAGCTTTTGTTCTGCCGGGAGGACTCAGAGTGGAGCATTATGGCAAAATAATTGTTTGTGGTCACAAGAACATCCACTATTACCCATAACGAGACCTGACAGAAGGAAACCCATCCTGTGTCATCACTGTTATTAACACTAAATAATAGGCAGGGACCATGATGATTGGTCTGTTCTGCCCTAGAACCACAGGCTACAATGAGATTCTTCACAAATCAGGAAGCAGCAGACCACACCAATAGCAACAGCCTGCAACGGGCAGCGGCACTGGGCAGGCACCTCCTAATTACCCCCCTGACAATTCTTTACGTTGGTTTAACAGCCTTCTGACTTCTCACGATCATGAGGGGAAAGGGTCAGAGCTTAGACAGCTTAGATGGACTCCTTCTTCAAAGCCAATTAAATGTGATGTCGTAGAAGGGCAGAATGCTGGATTTTGCACTTTCTTACCCCCTTTGCTGTAAGGCATTACTTGTATGCCCTGGCTCTGCGATCAGAAATTGCACCCAAATTCTAGCATCACCATTTAGTAGCTGTCTGGCTTTTGGGCAAATTACTAAATCTCCCTCAAACTCAATATCCTCATCTACAATGAGGATGATAATCATAGTCTTTCTTCAGAGTGTTAAGCAAAATGATGCACCGAAGGCTCAATGCATATTGGTTATTGTTACTCTTATTATTTATTACTGCAAGAAAAAAAAAGCCAAAAGCATATTTCGTTTTCAATGGAATTATCAGATTTTCTTTAGCTGGCCCCATGGAATGGAACACAGGGCTCCTTATCAAAATATCCTGTTCAAAATGAGATGAAGTTACAGGGTAAAGAACTGTACATTCCAGAATAGTGTACAAGGACATACATGAAAAATTCTGGATAGGTTTGGTGTCTAAAGAAGCTAATTCCTGAAAGCTGGAAAAATCTACATTTTGATATGTATTTATATAAGAGTGTAAAAAAAAGCTTCTGAGTGAAAAAAAATCCTATCATGATTTCAACGATGCAATTCAAAAGGGGAAATTTGACACTCATCAATGTCTTGGTGACATATATGTGCAAAACAAGCCTTGCACAGAATCCTTTTTTACATTATGTGCTTCATTAATTGCACTCCAGTGATCAAGCCCACTGTGTCACGGGAGGACGACAGTGATAGCAAGCTTCCTATCAATGAGAAGTTTCTTTTCATTTCCTCTGTTCTTTATCAACAGTGAACAAGAATTGGCTTACAATGAGAATTGGGATTGTCATTCCAGAGACTGCAGGTTGAGATCATTTATTACAGCCTGCAAGCCTGCTTTAGTCAAGGTAGTGTGGTGGCGAGGAAAGATCTGGGGCACTGATGGAAGGCAGATTTGTGTTCCAATCTGGTTAAGCGCTGGTTAAGCGAGCAGGTGTACGTGTCAGGCCTAGGAGTTCAGACCCTGGCCTGGGGCAAGTGGATGCCACTCAGCCTCATTCTCCTCCTCTGTGAAATGGAGTGAATAATCTCTAGCTTACGGTGTTACTAAGAGAATTAGAGTACATGCCATGTGCTGAGTGACTGCCACATAGTAGGTCCTTAATGCATGCTCACTATTAATAATAAGCATGGTTATTAAAACAACTAAATGAGAAGCAAACAATGTCTCACGTGGCCTCAGCTCCCCATTTTGTCCTTGGTGCTAATAAATTACCAGGAGGCCCCCTATTGGCATTTGAAAGACTTTTTTACTGACCGCAGTATCCAAAACATTACATCCCTCTATAACATCTGGAGATGGGCTAATTTGGACTGGCTTTTGCCTGCAGAGTGGAGTGTCTATCTGTTCCTCAAACCTTATGCACTTCCAAGGACATCACTGCCCGTGTGATTCCACAGTGCCTTCTGGTTCTCTTTTGGAGAGGGCTTAAGGAGGGGTAGGAAGCTTTAAATCACCTCTTTACATGATGTGTGAGGCTGTAGGCTCACATTAGCAGCTATCCAGATCAGGTGAAGGCAGCCTTCTGGGTAGGAATTGAAAGAACCCGCCTAGATCTTGAGAACAATGAAGGAAAGAAATCTAGATACATAAGAATCTTCACTGTGCTGGATTCCACTCATATATTTAAGGGTTTGGTTAGAGAAACATGTGCCCCTGATTCCAGAGCCCACTGCATATAATTCCCTATGTAAGGGTACAAGGTTTCAAAGACTCTGGGGAAATGTGTTACTCTCTCCAATACTGTAGACATTAAGTCTTCTATCCACACTCCACAAAGCTAGAAAATTTAAATAAAATGTTAATCCTCCTCTTTTTGAAAATATAAAAAACATAAGGATCCTAGACAGAAGTAATTTTTTTCCCAGCGAAGTGCCTACTACCCTCAGAGTGGGTTATTGACCTCCTACTGGGAATATGTAAATCTTTTCAAAGGTCTTTGATCTCTTAAAAGAATATCCAACATTAAGTTTGTTTTGCTCTTATGACTGCCAGAAGTCTCCCTCCCTGGGCATCACGTTAAATCAGTCCTTGGTTCCAATTTTGTCTAATTCACTAGCTTATCAGAGAGATAAACTTCCAAGATGTGTCATGTGAAGAATCGAGAAAATCTCTAAGAAAAAGTCCATATATCAATTAGCAGAATTCCAATAGAGACATCTTGGCAGAGATGGACTTTCCCTCATCTCAAGGAACATGTAAATTATCCTCTTTCTTCTATGACCTTGCTAATTTCAACAGAAAACATTCAGTGGCAGCTGGAGGCAAAGGGCTTATGTAGCTCCTTCCCAGAGGATTCTTGCTCTCTCTTTTTCTTTGGCTCTCAGACTACTTTTATATCTAGACTGATTCTTTGGCTTTTTGCCCACTATAAGGAAATACATATTTTCTGTGGGAAATGCATAGTTGAAAAAGAGGAATGAAAAGCATGATCATATTTTTTTTATTTTTGTAAATAAGTTTCTCATAGTAGCCAGCTTAGAGCCCTGTATGCAATAGGCACTTTTCAACTACTTGTGGAATGAATGAAAAATATAAATCACTGGTCTCAGCTCCAAAAGTGTTCCTTTCCCTCTTCAGTAAGGAGAAAGGTAGTCACAACTGTTCTTTTGAAAACTGAGTAGCAATTCTTACCAGTCAGGACTACTAAAGGAGCCACCACACCTTTTCTAGGGGGTTGGCAAATGAGCTAACAATCTCCCAGATGCACTAAGTACAAAAATGTAAATAGACAAATACATAAACAGCTAGCCACTTGCAGAGTAGGAGCAATTGATTTCAATATTGAAAGCACCACTCACTTAGAGTTGAAATAGGTTTCCAAACTAAAATACCAGAACATAGAACTCACTAGCAGGGCTCAGTTCAATAGAGAAATGTCCCTGTCAGGTTCCTCCGGGAGGGGAGGTCCAGGCCTCAAGCTACCAATGCATTTAATTGTGTATGTCTTGCTGAACTTTATTCAGGTTGGAGATTTGGGGCTTGATGGGGCAAAATGATTTATTCCTTTTCTCAACCACTTACGCATAACAACTAGGAAACATCTACTTATTCCTTCTTCGATCATAAATTTTACTTGTTTGCTGTTTTTGGAGACAACCAATGATGAATAGTTCAACTGAATCATATTTTTTAAAGGAATCCTTTATCCATTATGGGTAAATATGATGGGTGTGTATTTCTCCTCCCCCCCCCTCCATTTTTGGTAGGTGTAATGTACCATTCCCTGAACCATTACAATATTATCAGTCACATGAGAATAGAGTTTGTACTTGATAACATGATAATTATATCTGTGTCTAGCAAGCTAATGGGACTTCATTAACTAGAGCAAGGGAATAAGAACCACCTAAGACTTCAGTTCATGCCATGCCCAGATGAATCACGCCACTGGGGAGTGGCCTCTTTGACCACCCATGGTCATATATGATTGCTATTGGGTGGGACTTTGAGCCAATTGTCTCCCCTCTCAGGAGCACAACCGCCCTGCAGTTTATGGGCTGTGTGAGGGCACAGCCTACAGAAACTCCAAATCTCAAATCTAATTGCCTTTCTGGAAATTTTCAATTTTTTCTGGGCTTTCAAATATATGCTGCTGGAGTCCCACACAACTAGACACACACACTTTTACTTAGAGAATATATGTAGGAGACACAGTGTGTATTCCATGCTTCAATATACTTGAAGCCAGTTCGCTCACACAGAGACAGCATAGTAAAGATTGCTCCCAGTTGGTCAGACTCAAATGCCGGCCACTGTGGTCTGCCAATGATATGGGCAAGGAATTGTTTTGCCTGAACCCATCACAATGAGTTTAGAACTGGCATTTAAAAATACATTTGACACATAAAGAAAACAGTAGCCATAGGGCATGGGGAAGAGATGGCTCATTTGGGAAGGACAATGGTGGCTATTTGGCTCTGGGAGCAAGCCATGTCACTTTGTGGTATGCTTTATGACAAGTCATGCTACATCACAACATGCCTCCATCACAAGATAAAAAGACTCAAAGGCCAAAAGCCAACAGCAGAGGTGCAACCACTGTGGACCTTCGAAGATGCAAAGTGTTGCAGTAACTTCTCGCAGTTGGATCATATCAATAATACCAAACTGACAGGAAGCCACCTCTTTTGTCACACATCTAGTCCAAAAATCACAGAAGAAATCGGACTTTGGAAAGAGTTCCAGACAAATAATCCCACCACAAACAAACACACACACACACACACACAATTACAAACACGAACATGTGACAGTGATTCCAACCACGGAGAGAAACAACTCTTGAGAAGATGAACACAAAGGCATCTCAATAGTATGTTTTCAACAGTATTGTTTTAGAGAACACATTATTGAAAAACTACACTGGAAATATTAACCGAAAAAGTTAAAAGAAAATGCTATCGATGAGGATTTGGTCATGCTTCATGCAACAGAAATCAGAGCAAAACAGGGTGATGTCACATGGTGAAAGCGGAGAAACTTCACATTAAGAAATGTGCCCAAACACAATCGGGAAAAAATAAAGCCATGAGTTCATCTCAATAAACAGTACTCATTCACTAAACCAAATGTGATAATCGGGCAAATTGGTAGCAGTGTTCTAAGTCTGTACCGAGTACTGCCCAAGAAATAAAATATGCAAAATGTTATCATCAAAATAAGTGTAAGGAAAAAAAAAGTTGAGTGTTAGTTGAGCTTGGTCTCTGTTTTGTGGATAAAAGGACACGAATCCTGCTCTATAAACAGGAAACCGGACATGGGGAGGAGGAAGTCACTGGGAATGTGGATGTGGTATGCAGACAGATGGCACCACAGAGCCTGGTGGACACCGAGACACATCAGGACAGGACAGAAACAGACACCAGGGGCTGGAGAGGAGCATCCTCCTTCCCAACATTGATGGCTCTGGTTCCCATCATCGGTGCCATGACTGAACACAGGAATTGTACCTGTTGGGTTTTTAGGTCTCCTGCAAAGAAGTTAGTGCATCATCCAAAAGAATCAACCAACTGAACAAGAAAAGCAATATGCTACTTTCAATTTTTCTGTGCTCTAGTTGGAGAGGGGTTTAACTATAAATAAATAAATAAATAAATAAATATAGACAAGGGAATGAGATTATATGTATTTGTATACATATATATAATCTCTATCTTCCTGAATTCTTGGCAAATGGTTAGTCCTGTGGTTAGCAGTGAAGATAGCGGGTGGGGGTTGGGAGGAAGGTTAACGAAGAGCGCATACCGCTTTCGGCTTCTGCAAAACGACAAGAAAAGAATTTAAAATCAAACAATTTGATAATAAATTGACTGACACCAGAAGGAAAGAAGGAACAAAACCTTTGTTTCAAATTATTTGAAGGATGCATGTGAAAACAAGGTTTTTCAGCAGAGCATGGAAAAACAGCATCATGGGGTAAAACAACAGAGGAGGTAGTTCAACACAGGCTGGGGGCAAGGGGTTGGGAAAGGAGAGGCTGGGTTCTCCGAATCCTAACACCCAGCCACTTAGAAAATGGGAGAGGGAAGGAAATGGGAAATTCTTTAATGAAGGAAGAAAAATCAAAATTCTTATCTCGGGAAGGGTCAAAAACTCAATTCTTATTTAGTATGGATATTGTGTTTGAGAAGTTTGGTGTTTTCTCAGAGGCATGATCCACATTCCCTCCAACACACCTTTTTCCACAAGAACCAATGTGCTTCCACACTGAGACCAAGCCACATGAGGGGATTAAAGTTGGCAACGGCACACAGAAAGCCAAAAACAAAGCCAAACAAGTCCTTTTCACTCTTTTCTGAAAGGAAAAAAAATCTAAAAATCTATATCTACAAATATGGCTTTGTTGAAAACATCTCAGATTTGTGAGTTAATTGGAGGATCCATCAAAGAAAAGACTTTGTCTTCAGGGAAGGCTCTTAATTATTTTTCTTAGAATAGTGACAGCAGATTCACACTGAACCATTAACAGGCTTTTTCTCTCCCTCCTCGTGACCAAAAGGTGGCAGGTGGGAGATGACTGGTCAAGGTTCAGGGGGCAGACTCCTGCCATGAAATTATACCAGGATGGTCAAGAGGCGCTATTTGGCATTAGCACCACCCACACCATGACAATTTTCTGAAAGATGCACATAAGTGATAAAGAGAGAAGACTGAATTACACAGATTTACTGATGTGGCAACATGAAGAATATCATTGGCAAAAACCCAGGATACTTGTTTCCCCCTCCACAGGCACAGGTGACTACTGGCCACCATCTGGGAAAGCAGAAACCCCCACTTTCTCTATTGAACAGCAAAGAGCCAGGACTCTGGCTCCCACTTTTTGCGCATAATATTCTTCACTTTGCCAACACAAAAAAGAAAACTGTATCTATACATAATTATTAACTGCTATGGCCATGTTTTACACGTGGCCACCAAATCTACCATTTTTATTTCCTCTTGGTTGATTTGGATTTTCCAAATAGCTTAGCCTTTGATCAGATTGACTTTGTGAGCAATCTGATCTGGTGGTTAAGGTAACAGAGAACATTGGATTGACTTGCTCACAATCCAGTGTCTTCTGGTTTTGTTTTGTTTGGTTTTGTTTGTTTTTTGTTTCGTTTTGTCAGAGAAGCAGACTGTATGATTGGAAGCCTGGCTTCATTGAGTTATTCATCCAGATAATGAAAACTCCTTAAATGGTGATAGCAGGTACCTTCTAGTCTTGCCCTGCACTCAACATATTAAGGTACATGTTGGAGAGGATCTGTACCCCACACCATGCCACTGGAAGACTTATTTACTATAGCTAGGAACAAACCCGCCATGTCATCTTAGAGGACAAAAGCCCAGGCAGTTCTCAATGAGCTCTTTCTTCCAAAGCCATTGATAAAAATTGGGGAGCAAAAAAATCATCTTTATTTTATCTGTAATGCATACAGTCCTGCATCAACAAACTCCCCTGTTAATGGGATGCTTCCTTCTTCCAGTGTGAACTCATATATTGACTGGGCTGTTATCTATTTCAACCAGACCCAGTCCCTCATCAGTCTGATCTGTACATAATTAAGTGCAAAATAAATAAATAAAGAGGGCTCCTGCCTCTGAGCCCTGCTCTCCTGGCTAATTTACATGAAGCTGATATTCTGCCACCTGGATTTCGGTTGCACCGGGAAAAGCACATATGGTACACAATAGGCTGCTTGTAATTTGGCTATCAAGAGAGCTGGTGTGTCCCATCACGGCCCTGCCCCAACCCTGCTGTGAAGGAGGCCAGAATCCACCTGCTTCATGCTCACGACAGTAAACAGGGGTTTGAGGACAGGGCCTGTCCCTGGTTTTGTGCAGAGAGGGTGAAAAGTGTAAGTTGGCCCAATCAGGTGGCGATCTGGATGCCTCATCACTGTCCTCTGGAGAAACACTTTCTGAATGCCCAGTGGGGCTTGGGATGGCAGGTGGGTCTGCGATAGAAGTGGTGGCTGGGCATGCTCTGAGATGTGCCCAAGGGTCAGAGATGTGTCACATCAGGGGTCCAAGCATGTCAATAACGTGTAAGAAAGAAGTGGGTGGACCGAGCGCTCTGAAAGCACTCTCACTGGCTCGTAAACGTCAGCCGGCCGCTGGGCTGTGGTGAACTTACCGGCTCTCTCGGTTGGCGGACTTGTACTCAATGGCTATCATTAGGAGCTTGAGCTTCACAAAACACAGCCTGCAATGAGATGGAGAAACCTCCCCGTCAGTGCTTCTGAATGGCCAGAGCCACATAACAAACACGATTACGACCTCTCCATCACCTGATGCACTCATTATCCCGGAGACCCTCACTCCACAGTCACTATGCCAAAGGGAGGGGGTGGGAACGACACCTCCCTATCTTCCCCATTAAACCTGATTTCTTGCAAGTGATAAGGCGCTGAATGTTCAAAGTGCAAATTGCACTCAGGTCTGGATGTCTAGACACAGACTCCAAGCAGGGATTTGTGCCTGGGGATTTATGCTGGGCCAGATTCATTAGTTACTCGGTCAGGTAGTAAAATGTTAACTGCAGAGGGAGGGAGGTATTTGGAGCAGCTGGACCTGTTATTTGGATTCCATCTCGGTCTTTTGTACAAATTGCTCATATTGTTGTTCCGAGCAGACCCCTGTGTGCTTGGAATGATGGTAATAATCCTTAGCCTCTGCGTAACTGCCCAGCACATGACTGTGGGCACCGTCACTCCTGGCCCCATCCGAGCTGCCTCACCTCATCTGCCCGGGGCTCTCAGGCTGGCTTGCTCCTGACTCCATGCCTTCATGGAGGCAATTCCAACCCCAAATGCCTTCTCTTCTCCTGACCCTCCCTCCCAAACCCCCGCCAAATCCAGCCTTCTGTGCAGCTCTTCTACGACGCTCCCCCCACCTTCTGGCTTTCCGTCCCCAGAACTCCTCCAGCACCCTTGTCTGCCACAACCTCCTTCAGCTCTTCCTCAACTGCAAACTGGCTGTGGTTGCTCCCCATTGCAGTCTGTGCCTGAACGTCATCTCTTCAACCAGTGTGGCTTCTTTAAGAGTTTGGGACTTATGTGGAATCCCCATAGGGCTGCACAGGGAACCATAGACACAAAGAAGCTCAAAAACTGTGTGATTTCCACTTACTGGGGTTCTAAGAAACTAATAAAAGGTCCAGTGAGGTATTCATGCATAAAGATGTTCAAGGTAGTAATATTTATACAGAGAAAAAAAAAAGGCAACCTAAACGTCCAATAATAAAGCAATGGTTAAGTTAAAGCATGGTATAATATAGTTTTAGCATTTAAAATGACTTTTTGGAGAATATTCAAGGTATAAGATTAACAAATAATATGAAGATACAAACATGTAAATAACGATACAATTAGGTGAAAACATATATTTATATACTCATGGAAATAAAAGCACACGCACAAAAGAATTACATTACATATGACAAGTTTCTATAATGAGCATATGTTTTAAGGACTTTTTGGATGATGAAACACTGGCTGACTGACAGGTTGAGAAGTGAGCTGGTCATTGAGCTGTAGCTCTGTAAGGGGGAGGATACACTGGGTCACAAGGCAGGACCATTCCTGGTGCTCTCATTTAATCCCCACAATATCCCTGAGAGGGAGAGTGGGCCCCAGGTATTCCGACTTCTACAGCTATCTGTATGTTACAGGTGACGAACCTGAGGCTCAGAAAGCCCATGTAACTTGCCCAAGATCTCCAGCTAGTATCTGGCAGGATATACATCTTTAACTCCAGGGAAGCCTATTTTGTACTGGGAGAGATAGATAATAAGCAAATATGCAAATGAATAAATAATAAATTTCCAGATGAGGAAAAGCACTATGCAGAAAACAAAACAACCTAAGAGGACACAGAGTAACTGGGAAGACCCATAAATATGGAAAACACACTGATGGTTGCCAGAGGGGAGAGGGTAGGGGGATGCACAACATGGGTGAAGGGGAGTGGGAGGTCCAGGCTTCTAGCTATGGACTGAATGAGGCTGGGGATGAAAGGCAGCATAGGGAGTATACTCAATGGTATTGTCACAGCAATGTGTGATGACAGATGGAAGCTCCACCTGTGGTGAACACAGTATAACATACAGAATCGTCCAATCATTATGTTGTGCACCTAAAACTAATGTAGCATTGTGTGTCAACTATACTCCAATAAAACAAACAAACAAAAAACAAAAACAAAAACAAAAAAAAACAACCAAACAAAACAGAGTAACTGGGAAGGGGTGTTATCTGCAATGGTCCAGGAGGACCATTCTGAGAAAGTAAAGCTAGAGCACAGGAGGTGAGGAGGAGAGGCAGGCAATGAAAGGATCTGGCGAGAAATCTTTCCAGGGAGTGGAAGCAACAAGTGCAAGAGTCCCGAGGCAGGGAGGAACTCGGGGTGTCTGAAGATCAGCAACAAGGGCAACTAGACTGCAGCCGAGTGAGCAAAGTCACAAGTGACAGTGATTAGGGCAGGGAGCTAGGCAGGAGCAAGTTTGTGAAGACTGCCAGCTACAGCAACAAGTCTGCCAGTCTGCAGTTTATTCTAAGTGAAATGGGAGGCCTTTAGCTGGTTGCAAATAGAAAAGCAATGGGGTAGGTGAAGGCCTCATACTCTCCAGGGGAAATAAGACCAATTGCTCACGCCTACATGTAAGGTCATGGTCTCCTGTATTGCTTTCAACAGACAGTGAGATTTCAAAGGACCACTTCATCTAGGCGTATTTGGGCTCTCCTGGTGATTTGCAGGTTTGCTGATTCCTGCCAGCCGACTCTAATGACCTGGGCTTTGTGCTGATTATGCAGTTTGCTGAAACACCAACCCAAGTATCCAACTACAGCTGGAAAAATGCTCTTTTTAATTTATGTTCCATAAAGCACTGTTAACACGCACCCTTTATGGGGCTGTTACTCCTGGAGCTTAAATTGTTTAAAATATCAGATGGCTTATGCAATATTTGTTGAACCAAATTACCAGATTAGGTAACCACTTTCTAATGTAAATAGCAACTAAATGCCAAAATCTCAAGGAGAAGGCCGATCTTAATTTAGCACAGATCATGAAGAGGCCAATATGCTGATATCCCATGAGTGATTGGCCACTCTGATTTGGGACTCTGTGGTTCATGGGATCATGGATCTTAACTGCTTTTAATGACCTGATCCTGTTGGTAGAAGCAAAGAAGTAGTCCATAGTAATGGTGAATTATGTCTTCCTAGGTACTACGATGCCATTTACCAACTTGATATAAAAAGAGAGCAGTTTTCTAATGCAGGAAAGTCAATAAAATCTACACAGCCTCGTGCACATTCCTTAGCTAGCACAGTGGACCAGGAGATCTGAGTCCTCTCTCATAACTTCCAAATCCATATCTAAGATGATTCTACACTGCTTTATAAAAGCCTCTTTTTAAGAAACTCTTTGACCCAAAGCTAGCCTTTCCTCACTGGCCAAAGGGGTGGAGAGGAGAGGGACAGAGTGATGTCCACAAAGCAATTATATGCAAACAGTGCCACAACCATGGATTATCAGATTCAGGCCCTTCAAGACTTGTTGGGGCTGTACTTCTCATAGAGATGACAAACTCAGGTCCAAAGAGGGGCAACTCACTCCAGGTCAAATGGCCTTTGGGAAGAAAGGCCAAAAGTGGAAATCAAATCTCAGTGCAGTGTCCTGCAAAAATGCTTCTTAGAAGAACAAAGGAAATGAGGTGGTGGCCAGAAGCCCAGCATGGAGGCTTGGTCAGTACAGCATTTTTAAAGACCCAGAATTTGATACTAACAGGTGATTTCATATAAAAACTAGCCTTTCAGCTTTCCTTGATAAATCACAAATGGTCACACTGGAGCCATATTCTGTTTGGCTTAAAGGGACTGGAGCTTTGAAGCGCTGACCCTTCTGGATGGGACACATGCTCTCCAACATGCTACAGTCCCCAGCGCTCCCCAGGTAGCCTATCTCTTCAGCCTTCACTCTTTGCGGCTCGCCCCAAAGAGGCACCTAAGTTTTTAATCTCTGCCATAACAAGTACCTTCTGCAGGTCCACAAAACACATATCTTGCACTATGTCCCCCGCTTCTAAAAATCACAGTTTTCGGGGCACCTGGATGGCTCAGTCATTAAGGGTCTGCCTTCAGCTCAGGTCATAATCCCGGGGTCCTGGGATACAGCCCCGAATCGGGCTCCCTGCTCGGCAGGAAGCCTGCTTCTCCCTCTCCTGCTCCCCCTGCTTGTGTCCCCTCTCTTGCTGTATCTCTCTCTCTGTCAAATAAATAAATAAAATCTTTAAAAACACAAATAAATTTTTAAAAATTAAAAATAAAATCCCAGTTTTCTGTTAGATCCTGCCACAGAGAGTTAGCCAATGTCCAGGGAGCTTGGCTTAAGGCTGCAGCAGAGGTAGCAGGAGATAAGAATAGACCAAGGCCAGTGAATAGAGGCGCCCGTGTGCGGTGTGATAATCGCTTGTTCACTCATCTCTCTGCCCTCTAGTTGAGCTTCTTTGTGGCAAGACGCATGCTTTGTCTCCCTGGCATTCTGCAAAGTGCAAAGGGTAAGCATTCAATACATGTTGATTAAATAAACGTATGAATGAATGGAGGGCAGAATCTCATGACTTGCTGGGAGCACACATTAAGAGATAAAGTAGTCAACTAGGAAAGTCTAAGCAGAGAAGGCTTGGAAGTTGAGCATCAAATCAAGAAACAAGATGCCTCTGAACTTGTTCATGAGAAGCAGAGAGATTGGAAAAAAAGGATGTCGAAAGAAATAACAGCGGTGATACGCTCTGGGAATCTAACCTTTGCCTCAAATCAATATGCCAAAATGCAAATACAATTCTAAGATCCAGACAGCAGTTTGTCTTTGGGACTCTCCACAGCTCCTGTTACAAGGGGTTCACTCCCCAGAACCTGTTTTCCAACTACTCAGAATTGATGTCCTGAGATGAAATATTTACTTGTATCATCAACACCATTGTTTTTGGTAAAGCAAAATGGGCCTTGTTCATACAGCCCTTAGAGTCCTTCTTAGGGCTTTACTCAGTGTCTTCACATATATAGGACTGGGGCGGGATAAGAAAGGAGCTTAGGGTGAGGGAGGGTATAAGAAAGAACCAAGAAAGCCTTTGCAGTGTGATAAACAGCAGCAATTTAATTCTTGGTTTCTAAAATAAAATGTCCCAATATGTCCAAAGCA